GGGGGGGGGGGGGCGGGAGCCGGCGAGTTCGTGCCCGAAACGCACCGCCGCTCCCAGCAGGACGGCTCCCGGCGCACCGGGAAGGCCGCGGGAAGCCCGGGCGGGGACAGGCCACCCGGGGCTCGGCGCCAAGCGGCGGAAGGTACCGGGGCGGGCTGGCAGACGCGCTCGGCAGCCGGGAGTGGCGATCGGGAGCGGGGGGAGCCGGCAACGGCTCCCGGGAAGGGCGGCAGCCCTCCCCGCCCCGGCACTCGCTGCAAACCCGCCACAAGGGCCGCGCCGGGGCCCCGACGGCCGGTTCGGTGCTTCCTCCCGCCCCGGTACCTACCGGTGGGCCGCGGCATTCCCTCCCCGACTCGGTGCCGCCTACCCGCCCCGGTGCCGGTACCTACCGGCGGCCCGCGGGAGCCCGCCCGACCCGGCCCGCCCCGCTGCCCCCGCCCGCCCCGGTGCCCGTACGTACCGGCGGCCCGCGGGAGCGCCCCCGCCGCTGCCCGGGCATCTTGGAGGCGCGGGGACACGGCGGCGGCGGCGGCGGCGCGCGCGGGGCGGGCGGGGCGGGACCGCGCGCGCTCACGGGCCCCGCCCCGCCCTTAGGCCACGCCCCCCGCAGGTGAGACCGCCCGGAGCGGGGCGTGGGAACGATGGGAACCCCATGGGATCGGGATAGTGTGAGCTCTATGGGATCGGGATAGTGTGAGCTCCATGGGATCGGGATAGTGTGAGCCCCATGGGATCGGGATAGTGTGAGCCCTATGGGATCGGGATAGTGTGAGCTCTATGGGATCGGGATAGTGTGAGCTCTATGGGATCGGGATAGTGTGAGCTCTATGGGATCGGGATAGTGTGAGCTCTATGGGATCGGGATAGTGTGAGCTCTATGGGATCGGGATAGTGTGAGCCCCATGGGATCGGGATAGTGTGTGTGAGTGTGTGTGTGTGTGTGTGTCCTATGGGACAGGGACATTGTGCCCCATAGGGTCAGGACGTTGTGCCCCATAGGGTCAGGACGTTGTGCCCCATGGGATCAGGACGTTGTGCCCCATAGGGTCAGGACGTTGTGCCCCATGGGATCAGGACCTTGTGCCCCATAGGGTCAGGACGTTGTGCCCCATGGGATCAGGACGTTGTGCCCCATAGGGTCAGGACGTTGTGCCCCATGGGATCAGGACGTTGTGCCCCATGGGATCAGGACGTTGTGCCCCATAGGGTCAGGACGTTGTGCCCCATGGGATCAGGACGTTGTGCCCCATAGGGTCAGGACGTTGTGCCCCATGGGATCAGGATGTTGTGCCCCATAGGGTCAGGACGTTGTGCCCCATAGGGTCAGGATGCCGTGTGTGTCCCTGTGTTCCCGTGGGGTGGGGGGCAGTGTGTGTCCCTGTGAGGTGTGGGGAGCTGTGTGTTCCCATGCAATGCTCAGCGCTATTTGTCTGTTTTTGTGGCTTTGGTGAGGCTCGCTACCTTGGCAGCAGGTCTTTCAACGCATTTATTTTTTCTAAAGTGAAAAATGAATTAAATGGGGCCTTCACCACCCGGTTCAGCATCACAAAGGGACATCCCGGTGTTCTCCATACAAACCAGCTCTGGGTGAGGCTGGATTGTTACCTGTGCACGTACATATGTACCCACAGCAATAACATCAAAGGGAAACATGGGAGGGGGAACCCAGAACCGTAATTTATTCCTTGGTAATATGGGGACATGTGGCACAGGTTATTTATATTTGAAGGCTGCCCAGAGTGTAAAACGAGCCGTCTTTTAAAAATAAACACGAGGAGAATACATCCAGGCTCCTGGTGCGTCTGAAGGTGAGGCCGGGCGAGCTGCTGGCAGGTGCCGTGAGCCGGGGCCAGCGGGTGCCTGCGCTGTGACCTGAGCGCCATCGTCACTGCACACACACGGACACACGGACACACGGACAGACACACGGACACATGGACACACACACGGACACACGGACACACGGACACACGGACAGACACATGGACACACGGACACACGGACACATGGACAGACACACGGACACACGGACACACGGACGGACACACGGACACACGGACACACGGACACACGGACAGACACACGGACACACGGACAGACACACGGACACATGGACAGACACATGGACACATGGACAGACACACGGACAGACACACGGACACACGGACACACAGATACACACACACAGACACACAGACACACAGACACACAGACACACGGACACACGGACACACAGATACACACACACGGACACACGGAGACACTGACACACGGACACACACACACAGACACACGGACACACAGACACACAGACACACACACACGGACACACAGATACACACACACGGACACATGGACACACACACACACGGACACACACACGCACACACACACAGACACACAGACACACACACACACAGACACACACACACACAGACACACACACACACAGACACACACGGACACACAGACAGACCTGAGCACACAGCCGCTGTCCTGCTGTCCCTCTCCAGTGAGGCAGGACAGAGCCAAGGCTGGTTCTCAGCTGGTTCTGTGCCCAGGGATCACGAGTGCTTCCAGCAGGGTCTGACAGCAGCGCAGTCAATACACACCGTGCTGCTTGGGTTAAACCCATCTCTGATTGTCCAGCAGGGCCAGCACAGCCCGGCCAGCTGTGGCTAAAGCACAGAATCTGGAGCTGTCCTGGGACCAGCCTTTGTCTCCGTATCTGTGCAGAGCAACGTGAGCTGAGTGAGCAGCCGGACCAGAGCCCTGTCCTCTGACCCTTGCACAGGCGGGAAATTAAAGCCACTTTTCCAAATTCAGAGCCACCAATACCCCACAGCAGGTAGCCGGGGGGGGGTCCAGGCTCTGAGCAGAGCTGGAGCCTGTGGCTGGGCAAGAGCAGCCCCCAGACATGGCACAGCAGGCTGCAGGAGCGGAGAGCAGTGACAGCGAGCAGATGGCTGGAGGTCACAGCAAGGTCCCACCACCAAGGGTCTCCGGGTGACAACCTGCCTGCCCAGCACTCGCTGCGGTGCTGGAGTGCAGATACCAGCGGCAGCTCAGCCCCGAGCCCTGAGAGCCCAGCCTTCCTCCCAGAGCAGCCAGGGGCACGAAGCCCAGATGGTGGCACCGTGCAGTGGCTCCGTAGTGTGCCCGTGTCCCTCTGGCTCCAGCTCCAGCACCAGCCCCAGTGCAGAAGGAGCGGGGCTGGGGAACACAGGGACAGCACAGATCGGTGTCGGTGTCACCTCTGCACACCTGGAACCGGCTCGTGGGGAGCAGCTGCAGGGATGGCACAGCACAGATCAGCCCCGGTGCCTGCCCTGCCCTGCGGCCCCGGCTGCTGCTGCACTCCCAGGCTGAGGGGCTGCGGTGGGCATGCACAGCTCCAGCTGCTCCATGCACAGCTCCAGCTGCTCCATGCACAGCTCCAGCTGCTCCATGCACAGCTCCAGCTGCTCCATGCGGCTCCAGCTGCTGAACAGACCCGATGCCAGGGCCCAGAGCGGGCTGGGACCCGCCAGAGCGGGGCTCAGAGACACAGCACGTTCGAGTCCCTCAGACAGTTTGCCTCATGGATCGCTGCAGATGCCAGCATCCCTCGAGGCCTGATGGGCGCAGGGTTCTGGGATCCTGCATCAGCTGGCAGAGGTGTCAGGGTGACCTTGGGCAAATATTTACAATTCCTGTGTCTGTGCGTGTACTCCAAACGCAGAAGGGGCAGGGTTCAAATGGCACTTTAATGAGCTGCAGCGCAGCAGGAGCGTACAGCTCCTCGTGCTGATGTGCTGAGCAGCCCAGGGTGGGGAGGTCATCTTCATCTGCCCACAAAGGCGTGTCGGCGTCGGGGTGCCAAGTGCTCAGCAGC